GAGGAAAGTTCTTTATCTACCTAATATCACTACCTTTGGATGCATGATTTAAAATGTTTACTATGATAACTCAAGAATCACAACACAGAGTGACCGACATTTTCATGTCAAGGTCCTGAATTTCAAAAATTGTAACCCAGTTCCACTTGTCTGACTGTCATGCAAGCCTCAGCTCCAAATACATCCTGCAGACAGGCTTCCATTTCAATCACCACGTTAGCTGCCGTGCGTTATTCTGCAAATAATTTAACAGATAAATCTCCTGCCCTTTATTCCATAATCAAGGTTACTTTAAAGTAATTCTGAAAAGACATTTACACATCTCACAGCCCAGACAGATGCAAACAACAGATGGAAGAAGGAGACAGATCTTTGCTCTCACTAAAAGGGAAAAAAGGGACCACATGCTAACCTTCCTCAGCCAAAGGAAATACGACAAGGGCTGAGAGTCGTCTTGGACGAATTAAAAAGGGTAGGCCTTTCTCCCTTTTCAGACACACTCCTCCTCCTAATAGAAAGCTAATCTGCAAGAATACCAGCTCCCTCCAACACAAACATATCTGGATTAATTAGAATAAAATTAGAATATCTACGGGAATGGCACACCGCACTTGACAGCTATTGGCTTCGTACCAAATCCCTGTGAACCAGACAGGCAGGTAAAAATCATGTTTTCCATTTTCCAGATGAGAAACAGAGGGCAGAGTGGCTCGGCCAGGTCTTCCGCTTGAAGTCCAGTGCTCTTTCCACAATAATAATAACACCCAAAGTCTACATAGCACTTTGTCTGCTATACCAATAACAGCAAACTTATTACTATAAACAATTTCTCTGTGCCAAGTGCTGTTCTTTTCAGCGCTTTTCATATTTAAACTCATCCAATTCTTACAACAACCCTATTTTACAGATAAACTCACTTAGCAGAAAGAGGTTAAGCCACTTGCCCGAGGTCACACAGCTCGGAAGCGGTGGAGCCAGGAGTTGGGGCCCGATGGTTGGGATCTGGAGCCTGTGCTCTTGAACCCTACCTTAGGCTGCCTCACCAGACAGTGGAAATAGCTGCCTGTGATCCCTGCCATCTTCCTGCCATGCTCCAAGTGACTAAAACAACTGGACGCTTGTGAAAAATGTGGGACAGTAGCCTCGAGCCAATGCCCAGAATAGCACTTGGCACAGAGAGGCACTTCATAAATATTTGTTGAATGTTTGAAAAATAGATTATTCCCCTTCAGCCTGGTGGCCACTTCTGCAAATAGGAGACACACACTCAGCCCTCGAAGCTCTCGCTTTGGCCACATTTTCTGCGGTGACTTTGTGTTCCCTTCCTTCTGGTTTCCCCATCCTAGCAACAAGACTAAGGAAGCCCTGTTGCTTACAGGATTCCAAGGGGTCTGTTGTGTCCACAGGCGTCACTGCAAAACAGCATGCATTTCTAAAGTTACCCCTTATGCTTCCAAAGAGTAGGCTGGGGAAAAAAAAAAATTGGCGATCCTCCCCGTGACAAACTGACTTGTCAAGCTGCTTCTTCAAATCTTTCCTTTGCTGCCATTGCTTAAGTAAACAGCCTTTCTTTTGTCTCTCTAATCCTCTGAGCCCTGCGTCTATTGTAAAGCCATCTTCAAACAGGCACTGCAGCTTTCCAGTCCTGAAAAATACACTGTACCAAGTGCTAAAGTGTTTCCCCATTTAAAAACAAAACAAAACCAAACCAAGATTCCCTGGCCTTACCTCTTAAATGTCCTCCATCTCTCTAGACCATGGTTTACTGGTCATGCCAACAAGAGACCTAATTAACATGGTTAGATCATGGCCAGAGGGTCTTGCCAGCTCGCCCACTCTTTGAATGTGCTCCTTGGGAGCAGCGTGACTGCAGGTGAATGCTGGGAAATAGACCAAAGGTCATCCCCATGGCATCAGGAATCGGATTTCAGAAGCAACTGCCAGGCCACCAAATATGGAGGAGGAACACATGTTCTGTGCGGGCACCCATCTCCCCTGTCATGGGAAGGCCAATATTCAGACCAGCTCTGCTAGATTGTCCCTAGAATTTCTTTACCTCCAAGGCAAAACCAAAAGATTGAAGCAGCTCACCACCCTGGCAGGCACTCTGTCCCGCCGAGAAGGAGGAGTCCCCAAGCATGGAATTACAGGCTTCCCCAGACAGGATGCTTTTCTGATGTGATATGGTAGAAATATGAACAAGCTTTAGAGTCAGAGGGAACTGGGTTTGAATCCCCAGTCATCCCTTAAAAGATGGAGGAAATAACAGAGCTGAGTTTGTGGTGGGATTTGATGAGTCAGCCTCACGTCTAGGAAGGGCTGAGTCTAGGCTCCAGGTAGCAGGGAAGGTTAAGAAAGACATGGTGTAAGGTGCTAGCTTTAGGGGGAGCTGGGGGAAGAGTAAGTACTATCTTTGCAACTTTTCTGGAAACCTGAAAATGTTCCCAAATAAAAAATGTAGTTAGGGGGCCGGCCGAGTGGCGCAATGGTTAAGAACTGGCTTGGGACGCCAGAGGGCCCTGGTTCGGATCCCACATGAGGGCCAGTGACACTGCCCTCTACAGCTAAGATGCTGAACAACAGCTNTTAAAAAAAAAAAAAAAGAAAAGAAAAGAAACATCTTGCCTTTCATTGGAAATCTATAGTTTCATTTTTTTCCCCAACCATCTTTCTTCCTTCCCAAAGCTGCTACTACCTAAACACCATGGTTTTTCTGTAAATTTGTATTTTTGAAAAAGCCAAGACATTGAGCTAATAGAGGGCGCCAAAACAAATGTGTACACATTTTAAGAAAAGAAAAAACTATTGAAATTGTAATAATATATACCGATAACACAAGATGACTACAAGTCACGTTTGACTTCTGCAATTACAAGAGGTGCTCAAAGTGGTTCCCATCAGGATCCGGACACTTCTGATGACAGTGAACTACTGCTTGAGCAACATTGACCGAAATGTCCGCTTGTATACATTTTTTTTGGCATTCCCGGTATATAATACATCTCCTCGTTCCCAAAATATAAAGTTCTGAAATTTCCTATTTGAGAGGCTAGTACGTCTAGTCCCTCCTAAATTGTTTCCTGTGTATCTATTAGTTAAAGTTGTTCCCTCTGCCTGGAACCTTTTTCTTTCCCCACCATCCCTGACTTCTAGTCAGTTTTAAGACCCAGTTGCAGCGCTGCCTGGTCTGGAGAAGGCTTCTTCCCTCAGCAAGGCCATCCTCTCTCCTCCCCCTGTGCTCCCACAGCGTCTGCCTGTAGCATTTAGCTTATTCTAGAATTATTTGTCCACAAGTCTCTCTCTACAACTACAAAAGATGAACATGTCCTGTTCATCTTTGTACCTCTGGCCTAAAGCCCAGAGCTTGGCCTATGTTGTTGGTGGGTCCATGTTTGTTGAATGGATTGAGACACCTGCCCCCCTTCAAAGAAAAGGATGAGGTATGGTTGGGTGTATAAGGTGCTGGGTGTTAAAACTCTGCACCAACAACCCCACACCAAGAATTCTCTAGCATCAACTGTGTAACCTACAAATCAAATCCATTCTGACGCCGTCCACTTGGAAAATAGTGTCAGATCACACAGGCTAAGCGCTCGGTCTCACAAGACTTCCCCTTTCCCCACAACTTCAGATGTCAATCACAAATTCAAGTTGTCACCTATACTTCTGACCAACTGGCTAAAAATCAGAGGTTCCCACGAGCCCCTCCTTGGGCCCAATAAATTTGCTAGAATGGCTCACAGAACTCAGAGAAACATTTCACTTACTAGATTACCAATCTATTATAAACAGATATAACTCAGGGACAACCAGATGGAAGGGATGCCCAGGGCAAGGTATGGGGAAAGGGCACCAGCTTCCACGCCCTCTGAGCTCTGAGCGGGGCATCCTCCCCATAGCCGAGTGCTCACCAGCCCTGAAGCTCTCCAAACCCTCTCATTAACATAACAAAAGATACCACAAAGCATTTCCCCACTTCCTGTTACCTGCAAAATAAATCTCAAACTCTCACCTGACCTCCAAATTCTCAATCTGGCCCCACTTGTCCAATCTGGTTTTCAGTGACCCTCCACCATTATGGTCTGGGCTCACTTCCTGCTCAGCCATAGAGAAGTCCACGTCAGCAATTCTGGCCCCACCTGGAATGGCTTCTAGAGCTGTCCCCTGTAGTTCAGGTTCCCCCGCCCCCACCCAGAGACTCTCTTGTCCAATCCAGCCCTCGGAGAAGGCTTCTTCTGATCGCCAACAGCACTGAGCAGCGTGACATAATCCAGCAGCAGTTCTCCAGCATGGTCTCCGGACCAGCAGCATCTTTGTCACCCGGGAGCTTGTTAGAAATGCTAATTCCCAGGCTTTGCCCAAGACCGACCAAATCAGAATCTCTGGAGAAGCCCAGCCTGGTGGGTAACCCTGATGCCAACTCACTTTTGAGAACCGGCGGATGACAGTTAAGGCTCTAGGCTGCTAGTTTCTCCTCTTCCTTCTTCAGTGACAAAGGTGTCAGAGCTTCACTTAGGAACCACTTAGGTCGCTCCCTGGGAAAAGTCAACCATCTCTGAAACATCACCTGTGGCCTTCCCTGGAAGGATGAGCAAGTGCGATGCAGAAGCACAGGCGTGGCTGCCATCCAACAACTGTTTACCTACCAAAATGGTCGTTTCCTCTGGGGCAACCTAATAGCTCCACCATCTAGGGAAAGGTTGCATGATAAGATCTGTGTGCTTGCGGGTTTTAAAAGGAAAGGGCTGCCTGGTTGTTGGTACCCAAGGAGGGAAAGGAAGAGTCCACGAGACAGTGGGCAGTGGAACCAATCCAGACGCAGGTAACCAGGGCCGCTGTGCCTCAGAGCGGGCAGTGCTGAGTACTAAGAGGTGCAACCTGGGGTTAAGCTTCGTCCTAGGAGGCGGGATCACCATGCACACCGAGGGGCATCAGAAAGGCTCCGCCCAGCCTCTTCCAGGGTTTGGCCAATGCAGAGCTAAGTTACAACAGCGACACCATGTGGCACGTGGAAAGCAAGGCAGTTGAACTGATAGGACTCCCTATTCAGATGAAGAATTTACCACCTTGAGGGGATGTATAAATCCCATTCTTGTGTAGTGCAGAAGGGAGCCTTCAGGGAAAAACAATGGACTCTCTACCAGTAGGGCGCAGATGAAAGTGCTCCAAGCATCGCTGTCTCCATCTGTAGAGTAGAAATCATGCCTGTGCAGAGGGGCAGTCATTGGCAGTACTGACCTATGACTTTCTCCCTATATTCTTCCCTTGCCTCCAGGTCCAACAGGAGCCACTGAAGGCCTCACTGCGTGTTCTCTCTGGAGTTTTTACAAGTAAAAACAGAAACAGTTTGAGGTCAATGGCTCATCCCATCTTTTGTAAAATCCTATAATATATCCTTAAAAGAGAAAATGCTGGCTGTCTGATGAGGCAAAGGGAGAAGGAGAATGCATTTGGGGACAATGAGGAGAAAAAAGGAAAAGGTCTTAAAAAGTGAGGGATGTCTGCACAATAGACATTCTTACATTTATGGAGGAGACTGTGTTTTTAATTGTGAACAGGAAGTTGATCCTTTCGGCTTTCTCTTAGAAGGCACCTCTTTTATGCTCAATTCACATGCCAGAGAGGCAATTCTTCTTCAGGGGAAAAATAATAATTGACTAAAGCTGAGGAACAAGAAACAAAAGACCTTGGCGATGCTGTTCCTCTTCAGTCCAGCTGTGACACAGGCCCCAAATAACTTCCAAGCCTCTTAAGAGATCCCAGAACCTCACAACGATGGGAAGGGAAGAGCCGGACCTCGGGTCTCAGCCAGCAGTTGACTTGCCTCGTGTAGAATTCCGGAAAAGATGAATCCATCCATTAGTTTCAGGATCACTGGGAGCCAATTCAGACCTTTCATCTGGCCTCATTAAAGCCAAATATTAAAACCTTTGTCCAGTTACCATGATAAAAAGTTTGTGGAAGTGGAGGAGAAGTCAAAGTTGCTGCTTGAGACATATTCCGTGATTCCGCCCTATCTGATCACCAGTTCTCTAAAGAAATCTAATGTTCGTACCAGGTAGTTCAAGGTGCACAGCCGGGGCCACCCAGAAAATGCCAGTGGACCTGGGAATTCCTGCCACCAGGAATTTCTCTTACTTACCCATGACCGACCATAGTTAACATCCAGAGCAATAAATGTTGCTTAAACTCTTAAGGTGAAAAGCTATTGTAAAGCACTGGGGGGCCCCAAGTTTCACTGTTGTCTGTAATAGGAAAAGGGGAGAGGGGTCTATCATTCAGTTTTTCATTTTTGTTCCCTGGAGCTCCTGGTCATTCGTTCCTGTAAGGCCTGTAATTATACCCTCCCTGAAGCTGGGCGTTCACAGTTAAGGAGGCTTTTTCCAACCAGATCATGTGCTCAGCCCACTGGGTTATTAATTGCTTCCAGTGTTCCTGGCCCATATCCATTCTAGGGACTGAATGTGCACGTCCGCTGGCCCTGTGCTGTGAATGCCTCCAAGCGATGGGTGCTGAACACGACGTGGGAAGAGTCTACTGGAGCTCTGCCCAATAGCCACAGTGGGCCAAACAAGACGTGACTGTGGGCCGGCGAGGAGCCACTGACCAATGGCCACACCTGCACGGGCCATCTTCCACGGCCACGGTGCGGCCTTGTAGACTTCTGGAATTCACCCACCGGCCTCCCTGGGACAGAGGGCGCCTGTCACTTTCGTCATAGTTCTGTAAATCCTCCATCTCATCATCTGCTGGCTCCAGTTTCACATGTGGATTATTCTGAGCTAAAGGTAATCGAGACCCTGCAGGCTCAAGAGAAGCTTCTGTCCCACCCCCACCCGCCTAACTACCTAGAAGAATTTAAATTAAGGGCTTTGCCTGTAATAAGAGTTATTACCACAGATAACTTTTTATGACCTATCTACAGGGCAGGGAAACTTCTAATTACCGAACATCTGCTCTTCTTATCTTCCTGTAATGACCCTCCTCCCCCTCTGAAGCCCAGGGCGCCTCAACCTCATCCCTAGCTTAGAATGCCATATATGCCTCCTTTTCCCTTCCTGTCTTTGAACCTCTCATGTACGTGGGGTCTCTGACTCTCTCATGTGTGGGGGGTTCCTGGACTTACATACGTAATTAAATTTGGTTGTGTTCGCTTGTTAATCTGGCTCACGTTGATTTAATTATTAGACCAGCCGAAAAAACTTAGAAGGGTAGTTTCTTTCTACCCTACAACACACCCCAACTTAGCCACAGAATTAGCCACCCCTGATAAGCCCCTTGGTAGCTTTGATCTTTTTTATTTTAAGTTCTGACAGTGACGCTAAACAACCTGTAGTGTTGCTGGGATGGCAGCCTATAATTACTAATTTCATCTTTGGGCAGGAAAACATTAATTTTCCAATCATGCAGATCCAGGCTTTCACTAAAAGGTCTGAACCACGGTTCCTAACATCACACTACTGAGGAACACATCATGTGTTTTAGGGTAAAGTTTTCAGAGCAAATGGAGCAAAGCACATGCTGAGCGGGCCGTGAGCTGGCCATGCCTCGGGCTGTGTTGTCCTCTGAACCTGGCTCCTACCTGGCCAAGTCTCCACGGTCAGCGCTTCCGGCCTTCTCTGGCTTCTTCTTTGTATTCTGACTGTTCCCAGGTGATGGCAGGGATCCTGGGCTCTGAGCTGACGAAGTCTTCTAAGCCGGGAGAAAAAGAAATTGGAAAGGAAAATCAAATAGGAGTCTCTGGAAACATAAAACCGTTTATCAATGAGCCACTGACCACAACATTCAAGGGCCAAGTTGTTCATTTGCTTTATCATCCAGCTGAGCACAAATG